TATCCAATGTGCACTGTACTTGCAAGGAAACGAACACATTAATAACTTTTGATTTGTTGTGTTTATTTTTAAAATTGAAATCCTTGGCCTGCCGCCCCATTACGCACGCCTTTACTCACTCACACACCCACACAAGCACACGCACACAAAACTTAATTCACACGCGAGCACACAAACACACACAGAGGCAGGCTTACGAATGCAATCGCACTTGAAAGTGCAGCGCTTACATTGACAGTGTGACCGTGCATCGCCTGCTGTTATTTGCATGAATGGGAAGTGCTGTAAATGTTGTGACGTCACAAAAATGCAAATGGGCCGTGGTAATGTTCATGAAATGAAATTAGAATTCATGCTGTTCTATCAAAATTTTGACACAAAAAAATGCATAAATACATACATAAGCTATGCATGCTCGAGCGCTTGTAGATCAACAAAATGAAACAGAACATCAATTAATTCAAAAGTTTATTTTTAGCAAAAAAAAGTTATTTTTTGTTATATACATATGTATGTATGTACATATATATTTTTTTGTTTTCAATTAATAAACACACCAACAGAACATCAAACGCACCCTTAATCACAGCGTCTATGCTACTGGCCATTTGCCACCTCTCCTTTAGCCTTTTCATTGCATGTCGAGCCTTGTCCCTCGATTGAGATTAATTGCGACATTGCCAAGAAAACTCAAGTGGAACACGCTATAAAAGTAAAAATAAATATACAATCCAAAGGTGTATAACCGGCATACACCTTATGTATGCACACATACATACATATACATACATACACACTTATGTACATATGATAGCACAAATACGTACGCCTTGGGCTAGGGTTAGTAAAAAGTTATACCTGTGTATATTTACAAACGTGGCATTTATTATTTATTTACGTCACATACGCACTAGAACACCTTGGAATGAACTTCATATGTATATCCCGATATTTCATTAAGAGGTAGTCCGCTGTGCAGTGGTGGATCGGAGGGGAGGGGGTGGAAAGTCTGTTGATTTTCCCAGTTACAGCCTGCATGCATAGTAATAGCTTTTCTTTTTTGATAAATCGAGTTTTAGTGCACCTCACCTAGCGCAATAAATCCTCAATTCCCCCTATCTGACCTGCGAATCGAATATCGATTTCTATCTAATTTTAATTTAATTGTTCTTGACTTCCTACACAGATCGCACTGGCAACGATAGTTCCGGTAACGAGGGCAATGCCGGCTACACCGATGGCCAGAATTCTGATCCCCAGAACAGTCCACCCAGGGACAAGGATTACATGCGCCAGCAACAGTATCAGCAGTTGACACCAGTCAGCTCCGTCACGGGCAACATGAACAGCATCAGTCCGGCGCAGGCACAGACCGAGAAGCGTTCGCGTCTCTTTCGCACATCAAGCAATACGATGGGTCTGGGTAGTGCTAATAACGCGAGCATTGGGAACAACAGCAATGCGGTGGTCAAGCGGAAGCACACTCTCAGCCTGAGCGCCGAGCCGCGCTCCGCACTAGAGGCTTGCCTGTCGCCCACAAATGTGGAGCCGCGCAAGCTGTTGCTGGATCAGCTGAGTCGTGTGTTTGCCGGCGATGATAATGTCATACCCGAGGTGGTGACCATCATTAGTCCGCCCGAGGCTCTGGGCGGCAGCACGCTGCTGGCTAAGCTCGTCACGTTGTTTGCCAATTCCTTTAAGCCGGCATTTGTGCCCCAGAACACGGCCGAGGTCAAGGCTGTGCTCCAAGCACTTATGGCCAAGATCCAAAAGTAGTAAGTGAACATCCCTCATTGGCTTAGAGCTGCAATCATTAAACATCTCTCTCTCTCTCTCTCCCCTAATCAAACTAGTTGCAACTCGAACGCCAAGCCACCGCACACGGTAAAGGTGCTGCTGATTGGCGGCGACTGGCTGCAGGGCGCGACACTGCGGCATTACGTGGAACTGCTGGGCGTACGTCCACCCGACTGGCTGAATCACTTACGGTTCTATCTGGTGCCCATTGGCGGCGGCAGCAGCAACGGCAGCGTGGCGCGTCATCTGAGCCAAATGGATCAGGCGTATGCTGCCATGTTTGGCTCCGAGAACTGGGCGCAGCTGTGCGAGCGTGCAGCTGCCACAGCGGCCGCGGTCAGTGCGGTGACCACAGTCAATGCCACAGCGCTGACGGCCAATCTGGCTGATGCGGGCTCCGTTGCAAAGTCAGACATTGCGGAGCTGGTGCAGCGTATACAACGCTATCTGCATGCGGCAGGGCCGTGCACACAGATTCCGATTGCGGAGGCCATGGTCAACTATAAGGACGAGGACTCGTGTCAAATATTTGTGCCCTTTGTCAGCGTAAGTACAACGCAGATAATTCAACTCGATCATCATCATTTAAAGATTATCCTTTCGTCTGCAGGACGTACGTATTGGCTACTTGGATACGCAGGCTTCGTTGGACTTGGAAGAGAACGTCACGTCCAATATGACTGGCAGCGCTGGTAGCGGCAACTCCACGAACGCATCTAGCAACCCCATACCCATTGGTAGTCAGAGCAGCACGAGTATGCACGGCGGTGTATCGGGCTCGCCGCCGCAGTCGCAGCAGCCACAGCAAGGGGGCCAGGGCATGGGGCGCATATCACCACCGTTGCAAACGCCTCCAGCGTCGGGTATGACGCATCGCGAACGAGGTGCCAATGAGGCGCTGATAACGCCCTCGCAATCACAGACTTTGAGTGGAGCGCTGTCCGCCGCGGAGGCCGTCGAGCTGCAAGTGGACTATTGGCCGCTGGTGCGGCATGGCGAGGTGCATGCCAAGGAGTCCAAGAGCGGCATGTCGCGCGGCAGTGATGCGGGAGGCGGCAAGAATAGCATTAAGAGTACGTTTAGGAATCTGCAGGTGTGGCGCCTGCCGCAGAATGCACAGCAAATGGGTGATATGTCCAATGGACTGACTGTTAGTTTCGCCACCAAGGAGAAGAAGCAGAAGCAAAGTAAGTGGCTAAAGAGATCAACCACATTAAATACTGATTCACTTAAAATTAATTCAATCTACAGTTATGCGATTGGGCAAGAAAAAGGACAAGGAGCGTGATCTCGAGAAGGAGCAGTGCGTAGAGGGTGTCGCACGTCTAATATGCTCACCGAAGCAGTCACATCCCGTGCCGCTGCGTGGTAAGTGTACTTCGCCAATGAGATTTACAATGCTTATAATTATTATTTTACTCACAGTTTACATTGACGGCACCGAGTGGACTGGCGTCAAATTCTTCCAGTTATCGTCACAGTGGCAGACTCATGTAAAGAATTTTCCCATTGCCCTTATCGGCTGTACGCCCATGTCGTGTGCAGAATAAACCTAGTCAAACAAATATCCAATGCCCATTCTCATGCAGACTCGCTCGAAAGCGAACAGACACATGCAAACATACAGAGAGCAAGGGAGCCGTACGGATGGACGGCAATTAATATTATTTACTAAGAAGAATGATAATTTATTTTATAGTTCATATTTGTAAATTTTTAGTTAATAAACTACGTATAGCTTCTAATGTTCTTTTAAGTCTACAAAACGCAAACGAACTTTGTGAATTTATCAAAAACTTTCGATATTTGACACAAGCATCACACATCAATATTCAATAACTGAAAAATTATAATACATAGGGAAATTATAGAATCCAAACGTTTAACACTTGATCAAATTAACACGTATCAAATATCCTGTACAAGAAAACCTTATCTATGTAGTTGCAGTTGCAAGAAATCAATTTCTCAAATCAAGTTTGTTAACCAGGTCTTTTGAACAGTTGGCCAAATGGTTTCGTTTGCAAACAGTTTTTAGATAAGCTTGTTCTTTAATCTAAACAGGTGCTAAACAAGAGTCAGGAGCATTGCCAGAAGAAGGGCTCTGGACTAGGCCACATGATCTCAAGCACTCTCTGCTCTTAACACGGCAACAGCGGAATGTAGTATATAACTCTGGCATTATCTAAACTAAACTAACAAAAAAACAAAACTATCGTAAATATATAAATGATATTCAGCATACTCTAACTACAACTGCTTAGCAATGTGAATGCATATTTAACCAACCCGTCGTCTATATACTATCTAAATTCAGACATTATCTGTATGTGCAACTAAATATCTACTTATACAATACTTATATAGGTATATACCTATCTATATACACATATACCTATCTAATCAGCATATTCTAAAGTATGTACTACTCTTATTGTTGTGATTTTTCAAAAATTCATAGTGCGAACAGCCGATGCAAAGATTGTACAAGTTAATATATGTAAGCAATTATATGCGTACACTATATAGAAAACATATATAATGAATCTGTTTCAAAAACAATGTACTAATGGGGTGCGAACGTTGATCAATTTAAGATGAGTGTCGAAAGCGTTGCGAATGAGTGCGAAAAACGTAAAATTAATTCAAGTTTAAGATGTGTAATTTATAATTGTATTATTAAATATATATATACATATATATAACATTTAAAGACAGATCGAAATCAGTTTTTTTTGTCAAAAAGACGGTATCATTGCAATTGTTGCATCAACACACTTGAACTACTTGATATGGCAGATTGGTGACCACAATGGAGCGTTCCCTAAGACCTAGGTTACCGTCAATGCCTCCAGGTGGCAGGAGAAACGTGAGGTCTTCGTGGCCCTTGGGCTGCGCAAATTCCACAAGATTGGCATTGCTTTCGCTTAAGGCCGCCAAAGACCAAATAGCCAAGTTTCGTGTCTTACCATGGCGTGCCACCACGTAGAACTGTAAAAGGTAGGCATATGTATTTAATTTGCATATTTCATTTAATTCAATAAGAACTCACCTTGTCATGGTCATCAATTAGGTAGCCCACAATAAGTGCCCAGTGAGCGCGGTGGCCAGATCTCTGGCAAGGCGCATGATTTACATCGGCATCATACCTGAATAACCAAGATTTATGTCTAGAATTAAGGTTAACCAACGTTTGAAACAAATTCTCTTAATTGATACACACAATCGGTAGCACTTTATTTCAAGCAATATTAATATAATTTGAAAAATGCAGCGTTCTTAATTAACACAATGGGACAGCTTATCTACCACTTCCACTCTCACTCATCCAGCCCATCTAGCCCACTCGCATAGGAGGCGAGACCAGTATAACGCCATCCCCTCGCACAAACAGCATGGGAATGGTGCGTTTCGTGGTCTTGTACACCTCTTCATACGTTTCTTCATCGATTTCAACGGTGGTTACTGTTTCTTCAGCATCACCTAGGACCATATTCAAGTGCTGGTCGAACGCGTGTAATCGTCCTCTCAATTCCCGCTCATTACGCATTTTTACGTACACTTTCTCATCCAAGCTGAGGCGAATTAGGTCTAGCGGCTCTTTGACCGGCAAAATTACCTGGCTGAGCTGCAAGTATACAAGTTAGCCCGCCAAATCCTTAGAGGCTGTACTTACTTACGTACCTGTTCCTCTTCAGTTGCCATTTAAACACTTAAGATCAATAGGTTCACAATAATTTTGTAAATTACAAAAATATCGTAGAAAAACGTATTTCGTTTTCTTGTTTCCTTTTTATGTACTAAATAATACCGAAAGTTAGTATATTCTGAGAAGCACCACACGCGTTACTAGTGCTACCCATAAACATATGTAATTCAAAACATACTGAACCAACTCCTGAAGAAAATATTTTTTGAAAAGGATACGGAACCAATAGACACGCTCCAGCGCACAGTTGCTCCTTTATCTGGTCACAATCTAAAAGGCCTTCATGAAAATGGCATTTCAATGGACTTCTCACATGCTTCTGCACCAATTCGTATAAATATTGTGTACTGAACATTTCGCCATTTATTGTGTACTTTTGTGAACGGGCGTCCACAAGTAATTCCGCAGCCGTTGGCTGTCCATTGAGCAACATACTTAGCGCGGTCAATCCACAGGTGGGTCCTATCTGCCAATTGTACAGTTAAGAAAAATAATCTACATACTGTACATATCGGGATTGCTAACTTGTAGAATGCTGTCGATGGCAGTATATTGGCATCTCTTGGGTTGCGCATACTGACAGACTCGACTAAGAAAACAGCCCTTCTGCAGTTCAAGGTAGTTCAATGCCCAGCTGCACTCATCGTTGATTGATCGCGTTGCATGAACTTTATCTTTTTCTAAAGCTGTACGGAAACTGCTTGAGGTAGCTAGTAAAGGTGGTGGGGGCGGCGGCAGAGGTGGAACAGGCGCGGATTCAGACATTTTGAGCTAAAATTTAGCTACGAGATTACTGCGCGGAGTTGAGAAACGTACAATAATAAACTAACAGCTGATTTCAGTCGATTGGAAGCACTGTTCATAAAATATGATCTGCCAACTTGTCTAAAAACTAAATGTAAGGCGCTTCGGGTTTAAATATACAATAACAGTTCACTCCTCCTCGATGACTACAAATAAGTGTCTTTTACTTAAACTTGTGAAAAGAGCGTGAGACGAATAAGGCAAGTTGTTTTCCTAACTAGAACTTAAGCTATAATAAGTTAATCAGTTATTTGCGATCTATGCTTTAGAGCGATCAAATTTGTTAAGAAAACCCGAAACTGAAACAATTTAATATATGCTGCCGTTGGAGGTGTGGCAGAATTTTATTAATTTTTTGCTATAATTCCGAAAAATATGAATATGAGCAGCTGCCTGGGAAAAGGGCAATACATATCATTTTGGGTTATTTTTGTATTTTCTTGGTTGATTGTTTTTTGCAATACGCTTACTCCAGCAACTGCTCAGCTTTTATCGCGTAGCAGCGTTCGCCGCGGCTCGAATTTCTACAGATGAGTCTTAAAATATTCTGGTTACTTTTTTTTAATTTAATTTTTTTAATGAAAGTTCAATGCTTTTAGCGCTGTAAATGGTACTATACATGTACTAATATGGGATGCAAATTATTTATTCAATGATGGACTATTAAATGGCATCAGAGTTCGAGGCAGGGTGAAATTGAACAGAACTTATAAAAGCCTGGCTTCTTTAAAATTGCGTAATGCTCTTTTCGCGCAGACTTTTTATCAGCATTAGAAACAACGAAAAACATATATTTAAAAAGTTTTTTTTTTTAAACTTATAAATACTACTAATTTAAATGCAACAGCATTTTTTTTTTTGACTTGGTTCATCAATTTCTAGAGTTGTAGGCAAATCTGCTTCGGTTTGCCCCATTTCCTTCGCATAGTCCATAGCCAATTTTGAAGCTATCCTGAAAGCGTCTTCCACGTGTCGGCCGTCCTTTGCTGAGATCTCGAAATGAGGTATATTGTTGTTCAGCTTACACCATTGCCTGACTTCGTCAGCCGATACCTTGAAATAAATTAAAATACAATTTATAATTATTTATATTATCAAATATTTATTTATGAGACGCACATTATATTTATTAAGATCAGCTTTATTTCCAATCACGACAAAGGGAAAACGCGTAGTGTCTATTGGGTTGATATTTTTTAGGAATTCAGTATGCCACATTTCTAAATCTGTAAATGAATCTGGAGAAGTCACATCGTAGACGAGCACGCAGCAATGCGAGTCGCGATACATGTTTGCGGGGATTGAATGAAACCGTTCCATGCCAGCCGTGTCCCAAATCTTGAAGCAAACTGTGAAAATTTTGAAAAGAAAAAACTTCCAGTTGTCTTACCTGCACTGAGATTACACGACCATTTAAATTGATATTTTTCATACAAAAATCCACTCCAATCGTCGCTCGGCAACTGCTTGTATATCGCTCATTTGCATAACTCTGAATCAAAGTTGATTTCCCAACACCGCTATCTCCCAGAACGACGATTTTATGAATACGATTTGGCATGATTTTTTTACTGACTTTAAATTGATTGCCAGAATAAATGAATGGAAATCATATTAATTATACATATATGTATGTACATATTTCAAGGTCTTAATAATAGTTCTATTGGGATTTTTTATTTAGATCTGGTATACATACATCCACACCTATTAAAATTGCAAATATGTATGAATATATATATATGACGAACTAAAATTGTGGATTATTATGTATGGTAAGGGATATTATAAAAATCGTAAATCTCATTTGCGTGCGGTATATAAGAGTCATCGCTGTTCTATATATGTACATTGTTTTACACTGGACCTATCGAAAATGGGAAATCATTATTTCTGATCGCTCAGAATTATGTTTTCAATTGATTCCTGTAGATTTATCTTCTGCCATCACACCATCACAAACATGGCATGATCGTTCCTTTTTATTTTCATTATGGTTGTCATAAAAGGAATCAGCCAATCAAGTAGCGCTGCTCTTACGATTTCGAACATTTCTTTATTTCATATATAAATAAGTTGCGGCTGATTATTAAGACAATATATCGGAGGAATATCTAATCGTTCCTCCGTCTCCACTGCAGCCGTAATAGGGAAAATATCACAGAAAAGTTGTAAAGAATGAATTCCATTAGTTACGTACATAATCATTACTCACTCAACACTTTCTGGAATTTGCTGAACAAACAAACAATTTTGAAGTGCACAAGAAATCAACTAAAGAACTATACAAATATTCATATAACTGAAATGCTATCATAGCTGACCAAATTTTTGCATATATAATAAATATTCGCAATTGCAACGTAAATTTAATGATGTCACTTTTTCTTTTACATGTAATCAATTCTCACCCGATGTTTTAGCTTTGCTTCAATGGACTTACTATAACTGCTCAGTAATCACTATTCGATACAGATTTCGCCTCAAAGGTAAGGTACGAGCTTTCCCACGGCAGAAATATAACACTTTATCAGGAATCCAAAGCTTTGAGGTTGAGCGTAACTAAGGTACAATGTGGGAATAAATTTAACACTGCTGAGTATAATACCTAATATTATAAAATGGATCTGATTAAGATTTATTAAATTTGAAGCCCTATTTAAAACTGAACTGGGAAGACTTCGGTATATTAATATTAGGACAAAAAATATTTTTAATATGTGCATTCTGACTTTTTATGGAGATATTAGTTTTGAAGCAAGTATATTAAGTTTTCAATTTATTTACTTAAAACCCACGTAGACAATCTGAAGGCAAAGCTAAAAAGCTCTTGGCCTGTGCCGATACATTCATTCATTCTTCAACCAATAATGAGTCTAGTGCAATTCCATGTATAGTCAACGCATTGCATGTTTGTAGATTTTTGCATTGTTTATTATACAAATTAAAACAAAGGCATGGAGATGTTAAATAAAACGTATATGAAAATTACATAATATATAGTATACACGAAAGTTGTGTATGTATTACCGAGCAGAAGCAATTTATAATACTCTAGGCTTTACGAAATCAATTTCTTGAATTTATCGCTCAAACTTATTAACTTTGAGAGCGGAGCTGAACTGAGCCAATAAAGTGCCGATCGCATCGAATGTTCTGAATAGTTTATAAAATTAATTACAATAAAAATGTATATTTTTGTTTTATTAAATTTACAATCACAAGAATTTTTTTTTTTTTTTGTGTTCGAAGATAATTTGTTATTGGTGATTCTGATGTTTCTTGCAACGGCTGCATCGGTTGCGTGCTATAATTTTACTAATGACAAAATAGTACTAGGAGGGCATGCACAATATGTAAAAGTTATTTAAATGATTGGTAAACACACATTTTAGCATTCTATCATATTATTATACCTATGCTGTTGCTGAAATTGTTTTACTTAAACTTATAACCTTGCTGTTGTTCATCATATTAGCTTTTCATACTCATATTCTGTTATGTATTTTTTTATAATGTAGATTGTGTAATTATGCACGTTGCGTTGTATTATTTTGCTGCAGCTCATCATAATATATAGTAATATTAGCATTGACAATTGTCAGCGTTGCTTGGACGATTGTTTTCAGAGTTCAAGCGTAGTTGATCGGGGAAATCGTTTATAAGTTCAGCCTGGAAATAACGAATGATATAACTAGGCTATTGATTAAAACGTTGATCAAAACTTACCTCCGCCTCCTGCTCCAGAGCATTCTTAGCTATGGTTTGAAACGCCATCTCAACATTAATTCCCTCCTTTGCTGACGTCTCATAATAGGGTATGTCATTTTTCGATTGGCACCACTGCTGCGCACGGCGCGTAGATACCTGAAACAATCACACAAGTACGCATAAATAAACAAAGAGATTCTGACCTATATAAACTTCGAAAGAAGTCTTTTATTATGGCAAATCTGATGTATCAATACCGAGCAACACAATATGCGGTTTACCGCGTCCGACGCCCATTAGCTATATGTTATTTCTTAGATATTATTTTTATCAAATTGTTTGTATACTTACTTGGCGATTATCTAAATCCACTTTATTGCCCAGCACGACAAAGGGAAAATGCTCTGGATCCCGTGGACTGGCCTGTATTAAAAATTCATCTCGCCACGAGTCCAGATTCTTGAATGAGTTGGGCGCCGTCACATCATAGACAAGGACACAACAATCCGCACCGCGGTAGAAGGCCACGCCAAGTGATTGGAAGCGTTCCTGGCCGGCCGTATCCCAAATCTAGAAAGTAGACAAAGCGTTCAGCATAACATATATAAACAAAATTATAATTATTTCTATTTGCTCACCTGCATTGTAACTACTCGGTCGTGAACAACAACCTCTTTCGTACAAAAGTCCGCTCCGATCGTTGCTTTATACTGATTAGAGAATCGTTTGTTTACATATTGATTCATCAGCGACGTCTTTCCAACGCTACTGTCGCCCAGTATGATAACTTTCAACAAAGATTTCTTTCTAGTGGCCATGTTGATGTTTTTTCCTATTAGCTTTTAATATTTTCACTGCTGTTGTTGCCTGAAATAGACAATATATATCGATCGTTTAGTTAAAAATATACTTTTTGCTAATTTATTTGACTTAATCTAATTACACGCTTATCTCGAACGCCTCGGATTACCAGCACGGCAACTCAAGCCGAAACTGAGCTTTAATGAGAGCATTGGCATGGGCATGAGCATGGACATGGGTATGTCGATGATTAAATGATAAATTCTGATTTTACACTACGCAAATGACTCATGAACACTGAACAATGACTGAACGTTGAACGGAGTACACGGAAGTAGACGAGGGGTGTGAGGGAGCCCGCATGGAAGCGATAATAAAATACGAATGATAGGAAGTATGCGCAGCGGAGAAAGTGATGATGACAACAAAGGAGATGTGGTGTATTTAAGTCAACCAAAATTCACAATGTACAATCGCAAAAGCAAGTTATGCAGGCTGTAAAGATCATAATAAACAATAAATAATTGAAGGAAAACGCCCACTTTTATCAATGCAGGATGCTGAATAACATTGAAAGCAATTACAATAAACACAACTACAAACAAAATGGTGCAAAAAATGAAAAAAAATTGCCATCATATCTTCCCACCCGTCCCGTGTTGGACCCACAAATGACTTGTTTTTGCGCACTACTACAATAACATGAGTATTTATGTATGCATGTATGTTTTTCTCTGTTTAAGCTCCACTGGCATTTTCCATACCGTTGCTGCTGCGTAACACTATTTTTCAATGAGTTTTCATCCCAAGCAGTATTGGATTTCTTACTTTACAATTTATGATGAGCACATTTAGATCGACTTACTTTATTAGAATGTATTTTTATTGTTTAAACGCAATTTATTTCTACTGAACTACGCAGTTAATTTTTTTTGTTTTCTACAAATTTTGGTCAATATGAACTAATTAATCGATATTGCGACTATCCGATACCCGATGAGCATTTACAAGTGTGTTAACAGAGCACATCAACTTAACATTTTAAGTGCCTTTTAACTTTTCGATTGCAGAGGCATTTTTATTCCGATTACAAATCTTTGTATTTTATCAGGGGACATTTTTCATTTTAAACATGTAACTACATACATTTTAAATTAATTAGTTAATTCAATTTCATTTCGCATATTATAATACAAATCATTCGAACAGATGGTTTAAGCAAACTATCGCAAGCATATGAATATCAACAATACTACCAGCTCTAAATTTACACATATTAAAATTATACTAGCCGTTGGTCACACTGCCATAACGAAAAACAAAATAGATTGTATCAATTTTAGCCAGAACAATAAATATATAACACAAAGTGTCATTCTCAACAAATTGAGTGTGTGGAGTCAGTATTCTTGTAAGATATCACAATAAAAGTAAACATGGCAACATTACCGCCACGCAAGAACCAAACACCAACTCGTATCTGCCAAGCCATGAAGCCACATTTGACTCCGCTCCAGACGTTGCTGCAAATGGGTTTCCCAAAGCATAGAGCGTAGGTATCAATGTTAGGATTTATCCTGTATTTGCCTAAATTAAAACGTTAAAAAACTGAAATCGTCGCACCGATGTTTATTGATTTTTTTACCTTACCCCAATTCGTTCACAGTGAAAAGGCGCTAGCCTCAACCGGCAATAGAGGCGTACAAATAGCATCTGATTGGCTTCTGGCCCATGTCAATGATGCGACATTGGATGAATGCTCACCACGTGAATACATTATATATGCGTGCCCAACTGGACCATTTTTACAGCAGCTGGAGGAGTTCTGGGCAAAATCACGTCAAATGTGTGGCTGGAATGGGGCACACAACTATGTGCCGCATATAACGCTAGTATCATTCTTTAAGGTGAGTATCAGATGATTTATAAATAAATTCATTAAAAATAACTTTATTGTTGATTTC